CCACCCCCCAATCCCGCGGGATAAAAATTTGTCACCTGCCGTAGCGGCCAGTCATGGCCCCACTGTCCACCTGCTCGATGGAGAGCACACAGCCGTTGCAGATGAAGCTGCGGACCACACAGGAGCAAGGCTGGTGGGATGTGCAGTGCAAACAGCGACATGGGACCTTACGATCACAGCAGGTAAGATCAAAATGACGTTAAGACAAAAAGCAAAGAAACTATGGGAAGGGGAAAGACCTGGAAGGAGAGACACCAAGTTTTCCAACACTTCCACACCGTGTAGGTTTACGTGGATAATCAAAGACCTAGTGTGCTTCTCACTTTACAGAGGTGTTAGTGACGTGCAAGTGAGGGGCTGGCTTTCCTCCGATTTCCTCCGCCCACTCTAGGTTGTGCCAACTGCCACCAGTCAGTGAGGTCCCCAAGACATGACATGAGAGACTCCCGCTGCACGTGTACCTGGTGGGTCACAGGACACTCTATGCCCCACCTTCTCCCTGCACTGAGATGCTCTCCGTTGGCTTCCCCTCCCAGGAGCCCCCTCATGTGCCTTTCTCTGGAAGTCCCTGAACCATGCTTCCCAAGCAGTAGCAGAGGCGGCTAAATCTTACAGCCCTGGGTGCCAGGCCCTCTTCCCCTCTGCCCGCCAAGAGCACCCCCAGCAGGTGACCACCATGTCCTCTCGTCCAGTTCCAGACCCCCCAAGTTGCCACAGCCTTTCACTCCCCTACAGGCTGAATGGCAGGGCGATGCCTGTCCATCAGAGGCTCTTTCTACCTGGACAGGAGCGTGTGCGTCAGGGCGTCCCATGCACCTGTGGGGAACCTTCCCACTGCTGTCATTACTTCTCCACTCACTAGGCCAACAAAATGGGCCTTCCTGCTTCCTAGAGGCCACTGGAACGCTTTAAGACAGGAAGTTAATCCAAAGGTCACACGAGGCACTAGGCCCGGAGGCACTAAATCCCTCTCCACTATGCCCTGGTATGCAGAGGAGCTGCCTTACCAGATGGGGTGGCATGCAGGCCCAGGAGCAGTGAGAGTCTGAGAATCACCAACACCGTAGCAAACAGAAAACTGTCCTTCCCGTGCAACCCCACTGCCTGCCCCTTTATAAGCCAACACATGTTCTCTGAAGACCAAGACCTCCCCCAGTGTGGACAGAGCCCCCCTCTTCCCAGATTTTCTTTATATTGGGCCCCCAGTCACTCCCTCCCTTAGGGAGTGTGGGGCTGAAGCCTCCCTATCTAGCTGGGGACTAAGCCGTCTCCCACTAGAGCAGCAACGGCTCCTCAACACCCTCAAAAGTGGGATTCCCCTTTAACCCGGGGAGGGCAAGCCCTTGGCCTTGCCCCTGCCCTCTCATCTGCTCCAGGTCTCCGAGTTGGCGAGAGCTATCACAGAGGTCACAGATGCTCAATGGCACTTGTCCCCACACAAACCTAAGCACCAAGAGACAAAACCCAAACTACCCAGTTCAAGTCAGGGCAGCAGCTCAGACCGGGCAATACCCCCTGGCCAAGGACTGGGCAAGAACAGGGAGGAGAGCCAGTGCTACCATGTGGCTGTGGCCTGGAGGCACATGGCAGCACAGCTCTGACAAACACCCCATGCAATCAGCACCACTTCCAAAGGATACCTGAGGAGAGCCATGGCTGGCAGGGCTGCAGCATTCCTGTCCTGGTTGGGCCACATGAAACTTTCCAGATGTCTTTCCCCCTGTAGGCTTCCTTTCCCCAGGAACCACTGCACCCCCTCACCTGGGGCACCTCTACCTGGCAGATTCAAATCTTACCAATACAGCTGCTGGAGACAGAAGAGAACTGAGCACAAAGAGAGAGGGACCCATACGCTACCCCCAGCAAGCTGGCCTCACTGTGGCTTCCCTCCCTTTGTGTTTAATGAGCACCATGGTCACACCTGAACAGCCTTGGCGGAGTCCAGGGGAACCTGAAGCCCGTGTTC